GTAGGACCAACGACCCGTAGGACCAACGACCCGTAGGACTATAGATCGGTTCCCGGCCTTGGGTTACATTATTGTATCTATACCCACTAGTATCCGATGCTCGGACGAATATCTACGTCGAAAACGCGAACACAACAGTCAACACCAATGTTCTTATCTTCTTTTCTTAATGTTATTATCTCGTGTTAATAATGTTATAATCTTAAAACATAACCTTAATTTTATTACCTGGCTATGGGAAAACCAGGTGATAAGTTTAGTGCGTTATGATAGTGATATGGCACATGCCACATGGAGCACATCATCACATCATGACACATGCTCTGGTGCGCGTGTGTAAAAATGTTTATCAATGAGCACCTTGTACCATCACAGTGACCGCAACATGATTTCCTACATAGACAGCATGAGAAAGAGACATTAATTTGAATGCGCCAAATATTTATTTAATACATATAATATTAATAGCAACAATTTTGTTACAAAAAGTTTTTCTAAAGAAATCTGTTATAGATGGCGCCACTGCATATGTTTNTTTGTGTTTAGTGAAGTTTGCGTGATTTTCATGTCGTGATGTTTTAATAAAATAAACGTGATTAAAGAGGAGAATACTGCATGACAACTCAGACAAGTGTTTTGTAATGTAGGTAAGATGTTAATAAAGCGACGGCTTTATGTATTTCTTTGATTTTCTATGTAACACGGCCGTAAATAGTCAAAAGGTTGTCGTGCATTTTGCATGTCGGAATTCACAGGTTTTGTCTATGGAAGCCTATTGGGCCCTAAAATAACATCAGAATATAAAAAATTTTAGGGCACAATTTATTGGTCTACACAGCCACAGGCACTTGGAACGTCTAAAATAAAAAAATGTAAACACGAAATGTATTTACGGTGCAAATCCACTTTAGGCACCTTAGGTATCACGAAGTGATCTACAGATTTATCTGTATCATCAACTGATGCACAGAATTTTCGTATATCAAGGAATGATGCAAAACCCCTAACCCTAACACACTTCGTGATACTAAGGAGTAAGGTTATACTTTATGACTTAGGGTTAGGGTTAGGGTTTTTGCATCATTCCTTGATATACGGAAAGTCTGTGCATCAGTTGATAATACACAGAAATCTGTGCATCACTTCGTGATACCTAAGGTGCCTAAAGTGGATTTGCGCCGTATTTACTACCAAAGGGTGCAAATCCACTTTAGGCACCTTAGGTATCACGAAGTGTAGACCGAATAATTCTGTCCCATATAACCTTTTTTTATATTTTGGTGAGGGTTATGTTGGGACAGAACGGGGTTCATTGAAATTTTGTGAGATCGCATGCAAAATGCATGCGCTGCGAATGCGGCCTGTACGCCGCTATTGGCGCGAAAAAAAACCTACCGTTCCCTTCTACATGACTTTACCTTGCTACAGATATGTGTATACATTGAATTCAATTGTTATTCACTTCTTAAAAGATTGTTTTTCAGAAACCCGCTTCAATTCACTTTCGTAAATAACATTCACCATTTTCAAACAATCAGACCAATCAGAGCGAGTGTTACAATAGCCTGGTTCTCGCTTGTATCTGTGGCGCTGCAGGAGGGTTGATAGACTCGCTCTGATTGGTCTGATTGTTTGTAAATGGCGAATGTTATTTACGAAAGTGGAATGAAGCGGGTTTCTAAAAAACAATCTTTTAAGAAGTGAATAACGATTGAAGTGAATGTATACACATATCTGTAGCAAGGTGAAGTCATGTAGAAGGGAACGGTAGAGTTTTTTTCGCGCCAATAGCGGCGTACGGGCCGCATTCGCAGCGCATGCATTTTGCATGCGATCTCATGAAATTTCAATGAACCCCGTTCTGTCCCAATATAACCCTCACCAAAATATAAAAAAGGTTATATGGGACAGAATTATTCGGTCTACACGAAGTGATGCACAGATTTGTGTGTATCATCAACTGATGCACAGACTTTCCGTATATATCAAGGAACGATGCCAAAACCCTAACCCTAAACCGACCAGGCTTTCCGACTGTTACACGTCGTAGGAGCCTGACACCCTTCCATACGAAATGCCTGGTAGCTTGAAAACAAACTCCGAATTTCGTAAATAAAACAATGTATTACCACATTTGACCTCACCTGTTACATGTTTGCAACTATCGCATCACTTCTTATACTATTACTATTTACCTCGAAATACACGTTAAAATAAGAGAATTTCGAACAGCTATACTATTTGAACGTTGTAAAACGCCGTACTGGATGTTCTTATGTCTTTTTTTGTACTGTTTGCAATGTATTTTTACATGCGAATACACATCCAACATCTTCCATCTTGGTATCTATGTCTAGCTAAATGTTCACTTGTTCGAATTATAACTCTGGCCATTGTGCCTAGCCTACTCCCGCCTGAAATATCTCGTGAAATCCTGCAGAAAATGTTCTCTCCGTAAAAATGTAAAGAGTACGTATCATCCGAAAATCCCTAACGGCGCTACTTTCGATCGATCGCTGTAGTCGTGTGTGCGTGACGTCATGCCCGCGCGCATTATGCTTGGCTTGGCGGGCCTCGAAACGGAGCTCGGAGGCAGGCAGCAGCTCATCCCGGCATGCAATGCGCCCCATTACTCGTGTATAAACAGACAGCTCGTCCTCTTTACATTTTCACGGAGAGAACATTTCCTGCAGGATTTCCTGAGATATCTCTGGCGAGAGTAGGTAAGAACAAAGTCCAGAGTTATAATTCGAACAAGTGAACATTTAGCTAGACATAGATACCAAGATGGAAGATGTTGGATATGTATTCGTGCTGTGAAGGTGTGAAATAAAGCAAGCGTCGAGCGAATTTAGCGATCAGACATTCCTACCTGCTCTCTTATTCATGTTGTTTGTGCACAGGGCGGGCGTGCGGTGTACTTGTGTGTTGCAGATGAGCATTTGAACGGCATTTACAGCAAGTTATCGGCAATAATAGACAAAATAGAGTAGAGAAACATTAAGACTGGTAGTAAATACATTTCGTGTTTACATTATTTTTTTTTATTGAGACGTTCCAAGTGCCTGTGACCCCGGCCGTAGCTCTAGTAACTATAGCTCTAGTACTGTAGCCCGCGTACAGTTGCCGCAGGGCTATAGAACGTTCTATTACGAATGCTAGGGACCAACCCGCTGACTGGCGCTGGTGCAGCGCCACCAAAAATGGCCGTTTGAAGTTCGTAAATAATTTTCGTTCACAAGAAATACCGCAAGCAGACCATTTCATCGATAGTTAGAGGTTAAATTTTAGTAGCTGATATAACTTAAGACATATTCACTTGAAATAAGAGTCATTAATTGCCTACCACAAACGTTTTATAGCAGCGACTAACCGTGAATAAGTTGGTCCCTAGCATTCGTAATAGAATGTTCTATAGCCCTGCGGCAACCGTACGTGGGCTATAGTTACTAGAGCTACCCGGGCCGTGGTCATGGACCGTTAACATAAGCCTTATCGCCAATCGGAACAGCAATGCGTCATGGGATAGGAAAAGGGGCATTACCTGCTGGACCCCGGCTATTTTCAGCTGAAAACACAAATTGTCATTCCCATCCCTGTATTTGGTAATTAATTAGACTAATCTTGCTTCAACAAACTGAAAATTCACAGAGATTATAGCTAAGACGTGTCTATATTCATCTAGATTTCTAGAAATGTAACTCATCTCGTTCGCGAGATATGATAGTTGGTACCTTTTCCTATCGCCCATAGCCGTGCGTATATTACCTATGAGCACCGATCGATGCCCCCTTTACCATCCCATCATGCTTTGCGGTGGTGCGCCATCTGGTGATATTTACCAATTAGCGATAAGGTCTATTGTCAATGTGACTTGTCATTGATTATAATTTATATGAATTATGGACATTGTAACAAATTTATTCCATATATTACAGGGCTAGAAGTGTCAGCCGATCCAGAAGTAAGACACATAAGACAAAGGAAAAGAAAAAAATGCAGACGAAGAAAGCCAGAAAAAGAAAGACATCAACTAGCAGTAGTGGTAGCAGGTAAATGTTTTGCTGACATTAACACACTAACACTAACGGCCCAAGGATATAACAAGAGCTGTCCACATTTGCACATTTCACATGTCGCACATTGCGAAAATGAATTGCGGACAGCTCTTATATCCTTGAACCACACTAACAGTTTCTGTGCCAGTACTGAACACATTTTCAACAGCAGTCTTGAATTTAAATATCTCACAGGGTGTTGGCAAGTCAGTTCAATCAGTTTTTTTTAAACTAGACTATAAATGTTATCCTTATTTTAGGGCGCGTTTGTTTGGTCGGATCCACGGATCTCGATCCAATGGATTCGACTGTTTGTTTGGTCGTATCACTTGATCTCGATCCACCGAACCTGACCCTGCTAGCGAGGTGGATTCAAACGGGATCCAATATGGCAGCCTGCGCCTCAGCCAATCACAGCTTGTTCTTTGTTATGAACCATCCCGTGATAGGACAGTGAAACGCGAACCGGTGAAAGTGAGTTTGCATTTGTTTGGTCGGATCAGGATCACATGATCGAGATCCGACGGATTTGTCCCAAACAAACGCACCCATAGGATGTTCAAAGCGGCTCGTGTTCGAGCAGTGCGTACAACATGTTCTTCTATGCGTTTACGTTCTTGCAGTTCGTCGGCTCGGTCTTCTTCGGCATCATCCAGCTCTGGCTCGAGTTCCAGCGGCAGTAGCTCCTCGTCCAAGAGCTCTGCATCTGGATCCGTGTCTCCAGACAAACGACCCGAAAAGGGTACGCTCAAACTTCTATTCTGTGCTTGTGGAGGAGTATCGTATAAAGGTGGTACGCTCCGAGGGTGAATTGGTATCATTTTACTTGTTGTTGTGATGGTTTTCATCTGTCGATAATGTACTTTGTGAGGTTTGTAACCAGTTTGTTATGATAGAGCAAGTTTTTTGAGTGTGTAGCATGAAATGGAATCGTTTGTGTTTTAGCTTCGCGTCCCAAACCAAGCAAGTCTCCTGAAGTTCGGCAGAAGGAGAAAAGTCCAGCAAAGAAGGCCGACAGCCCAAAGCACGTGGAGAAGAGTCCCGTGCCGGAGAGGAGGGAGAAACAGAAAAGTCCAACGAAAGACGAAAAGAAAGATAGACGAGAGAAGGACCGATCAAGAGACAAGCGTGAGAGGAGAAGGTCACGGTTAGTAGTTAAAAGTTTTAGGAACGAGCTAGTAACTTGTTCTCAGTTAAACAGGTTTTACGTCTGGTAGAATCTAGGGTCTTCGTATGTGTTATCACATTTTGCTCTCTTATTTCAGATCCGAGTCGCCTAAAAGAAGAAGACGCAGTCCAACGCCGAAGTCGTCAAAAATCTACATTGGCAGACTGACTAGAAATGTGATGAAAGAACATATTGAGGTACAAGAGATGTACATATATAGTCAAATGTTTCATTAGACTATCTTTCAAGACAAAGCAAATTTTAGAAGCACTTGACGATACTGCTGATACTACAAGGTTGAGACTAATTGTTCATTGCTTAGAAGTTGTCATGTCAGTTTCTTAGTTATCAGTTTCTAATTTAGAAGATATTCTTAGAAGACATCAGTTTTCTTTGCTGAAGCTCTAGAGGCTAAACCAGCGGAACCATGTCGGCTAGTGCTACCCCCCCCCCCCATTTTACATGTATTAAGTGATTGCACGCACTTCGATCTAAATGGCGTCGCAATTCCGCGCGCAGGAGATATTTTCGCCTTACGGTACGGTGAGGAGTGTCGACCTGCCTAGCGACCGGAACAATCCGCACCTCCCCCGCGGCGACGCCTACGTCGAATACGAGAAGCCAGAGGAGGCTGAGAGAGCTATCAAGCACATGGACGCGGGTAAGACCGACGATGCGTCACATACTGTATATAGATGTACAGAGATGCCAACCACTACGATTTATCCGTATTTTATATGAATTTCTATTCCTTTTGCACCACTACGACCAGTTTGTATCAAACTACGAATTTCACTGTGATAGAATTTCTTCTTCTTTTTTTGTCAATTATTGTCATTTTTTGTCAATTTATTGTCATTTTTGACTCTCAGAATGCAGGAAATTGCATCTCAGAATCAAACAAATTTCCGGGGGGCATGCCGGACCCCCCCCCCCTAGCAAACTTGGGTCAGTACGTGACCCTCGAACTACTAATTTGATGGCCAGAAACGACAGATTGCTTCAAATATGTGTTGGCATCTCTGGATGTAGTGAATTGTCCTAGGCATACAATGCACTCCCATGTCACGTTCCATGTCTATGCTGGCTAGATCTCGGTCTGTAAAATTTACCTGGTTCTCTCATTTTCTAAGCTAGATTTAGAGAAACTCGCTCTACACCCCGAATAGGGCAATCGATACAAACCGGAAAGTTGGTGGCAATGTAGCGTCTGGGTTTTTTCTCGCGTCAGGTCAAATCGACGGCCACGAGATTGTCGTCAGCATGATACTAGCACCACGGCGACCGCCGCCGATGCGCCGAAGTCCCATGCGACGCGGAGGCTGGCAGCCGAGGATGGCGCCGCGCTTCCGCCAGAGGTCGCCACCGAGGAGAAGGTCACCGATAGCGAGACGACGGTCGCGGTCTCCGGGTAGAGGGCGCCGGCATTTCAGCCGGTCTAGCTCAAGCTCTTCGCGCTAGGCGAGTTTCGTTTGCCGCCGCCATCGTTGTCGTATCATCTGTACATACATTAGACATATGTACTTACAGCACAGTATCAGGTTGGTTATAAAACATCTCCGTTTCACAGTTTTGTGACGAGTGCGAATAACTGTTTGCATTTAGAAAGCATTGGCAGCGAATTATTAATTTAAATTTATGAAACAATGTTCGAAAACTGTCCGACGAGCGTTAACAAGACCGAAGAATCATTTGTAAATACATTCCACGTGTGAGGTAGTAGTAGTGTTAGTTGTAGTCATGTAATGTGTCGCATTTTAGAGTTCGCCGATATAAGTAGAAATCAAAGCATGGCAAAAAATAAATCACAATGAAAATGATATGTACAAAATTTTTTTATTATGCTGTTTTAGCTTTATATTTTATACACATAACTATTTTACAAAACGTTTCCAGATAGAGAAATTGATTGAAAATACAGTGATGGTTTTGCATACTGTCACGCTGATCTAGAGGTTTGTTGCCACGATCAAACCGTTGACAAGAGCATCTGCGGGAGGAATGTGGCCAAGACGCGCGAGGTTAAACTTGACATGTAGAGGTTCAAATGGTATTAAGTTGGGTACCTGCTTCCTTCTATCTTCCCCCTCAATTCTCGTGGTCATGATGTCCTGTGGGCAATCGGGAGCAGTCAGTAGCCGAAAAAAGTACAGACTGTGAATCGGTCATGGTCACACTTACATTTCACGGTCGGGGAGCACCTGACACTTGTACAGCAACACTGGGGTGGTCGTGGAAAATTATCCCAGTTCTTTATACATGTGTGTGAAAACCAAGACAACAGCTACTACAGCAAAAGCCCTCGGTTCCACTGGATGCAGGAACGTTGAAGCCAATCGTAGCATTGTAATTTGCGACAACCTATCCTCACTTCGCGTCGAACGGATTGCAACCGAATGCAGATTTGGTGCACCAATACACGGACAACTCGAAAGACCTAGCGTGACTCTGACACCATCGTAATTTACACGATGCTGCATCTGAACACAGTAGTGGATGTGAAATTGTGATAAAAGCAGCAAAGTTGTTGGAGTTAACAGTGCAAGATGGAGCGCTTACCCTTATATCTATCGCTTATTGCTAATCACACTCAGCAATATGAGATTGCACTACTATCGATTCTTGTGCAAACATGCTACACCTTTCCATTGAACACTGGCACTATGGGCTGGTGCATACGACTGGTTAATGGATGCTCAACTCACTGACTATAAATGTAACTGATCTGGTGCAACGTTCATCCGATTTCCGTCAATTACAACTTTTGAGAACAGCAATACTAATTTGTACTATATGGGCCGTTGCATATAACGCGGCCAGAAAGATTACCTTTCCTCATCCACTATTGTGATAAAACGTTAACCTGCAAGATGTGGCACGTAGTAGTTAGCCGAGAGGGTAACCTTCCTACAGACAGTAGCGCCACCTCATTACAACAGAAGTGCACTGCAGCTACCATTACACCGCAGCCGCATGTATTTTTTTAATAACAACAGTACGAGTATGACAAAATACAACAGATATCAATCAAATTATTTAATAACTTATTTGACCGTGTGAGGGCCTTGCCTGCCATCTGTAAGAGGGCTTGCGAGTGTTTTTCACTCACACCCACATAACCAGCTGAGGTCAAATCTCAACAACATAAGCACTCACTCAACTCAAATCACCATCCATGATTTGCCCATATGAGCAGTCTGACTGCTGGCCTCGTGTTAGGTACAGGGTGTTGCCAGACTTTCTACACGTAACACCTCTGTATTTTTGCACCTCGCTTCCACGCCAGACGAGAAACACCAGTCAAACTCCCCGTCGAGTAAAGCACTTGGATTGAACTGTGGAACACTATGACATTGTTTGAAATCCACAACATTTAACTGTTTAAACGCAACCACGTGGGCAATGCCTACCACTGGATGAAAAATGCTGAAAAAAACCAGACGCTTACACCAAATTCATGTGTTCGCAATGCTAGGCATTGCTGAACCTTTGCTTCTGTTTTTCTCGTACACCACGGCTGTAACCCATCATGTACTCCCAATGCTGTCACCCTCATATGTCGGAGCAAGCAAACTGTTTTGCCTGTTGTCGCACTCGCTTGTCGTATTCGTTGCGATCTCGACTGGAACACACACGTTGACACCATTAAACCGTTCCTACTGAACGTACACCATATTAAGTAATAACCCATTTACTTACCGTTTTAATCTGTTAATCATAGCAGAAATAAATTCCTTTATAGTAAAGAAATCGATAAACTATACACAACAAGTGGCTACTAACTATCAAAATTAACATCAGCTGTACCAACTTTAGAATGTGCGACATAGGCGAGTATAGATGGTAATTCAAGTCCGCACGCACAGAAAAACAAGGTAACTTGTCTCGAGTGAGATAGCACACTTCATTTCACGCTTAATCAGACTATCACCCACACTCACTCATTCACTCAGACACTCATTCACTCACCCACGTTCACTCAGCAGTGCCTGAAATGAGGGCCAGCTGAAGGCCGAATTTTTTTTTGGGCCAGTAAAAATTTTGAGCCACTGGCCCAAATATTTTTACAATTTTTCATATACAGGGATGAGATTGGATAATTTAATTTTCAGCTGAAATTTTAATAGCAGAAACAGAGGAGCGCGAGCAATGCCGCAGGACCGTAGGTCACAATAGCCATGGCTAGGGGGTGGGCCTGGAGTGCTCCCCGGAATGTTTTTTAAAAGTAATGGTGCAAGTTTGGTGCAGGTTATATAGCTAGTTCTGAACACAAGTTATGAGACTCTTAGAATCACGTCTTTCAAGTTGTGGCGGAAAAGAACAACGGTATAGAACTAGGAGCAAATCGGGGGCTGAAAGATACGCGCAATTTGTTTGTAATCTAAATGTCTAGACTAGATGATCTTTTTCCTGTTTGCCACCGCCCCGGTCGGCAGTTGCATTGTTTTTTTAGCTCGGACATCAAGCCGTGCCCTTGCTGCGACGGGAGGCATTTTGAATGAGACGAAAACACAATGCGATGGAACAGATCAGCTGCATAGTCATGTACACGAACATAGCACGCAGCACATGGTAAACCGCCGGCCCCCAGGCCAGGCATGGTCGTAAGCGGCCCGCGCAAACAGCCGATGTTTTACCAACACGATTGGAAGCGATGAGCGATGTATGGTGTGCGCGTCTATTTGTAGACGATTTTATTTTTATGCCGGGTGATCGTGTCCAAATCAAAGATGTTTGATTTTGAACCCGTATAGAAGCCGATGAGGACCGATTATAAGGCGGCCGGGCAGCACGCTACATCGCTCAATTGCTGGGCTCCATCGGTTTTGCTAATGCGGCCGTGAGGTGTACGCGGCGGCGGGCCCTTTCAACGTGCGACCGAGGCTACGTCAAATGTCTGCCTCTCTACTCGCAGCCCTGTTGAACGAGGGCATTTTCTTTTCTGGTAAGGCGCCGATAGAAACAGATACCCTGTATACTTCGCTGTAAGCCTACTGTCTATCTCTACAGTCTACGAGTCAGGTGCTGTTGAGGGTTTATAATTTAAATGTTCAGTTGTTAGCGGCGTCCCTCCCAAGTTTGTCTCCAACGATTTAGACGTTTCACAAAATCGCCCTGGACTGTCCAACTCGCGGGAAGTTCCGGATCGGGAAAGAATCTCATACCCTGGCCATATAAAAAATTAACCGTTGCGGTGACTAAAATTAACGCGCTTGGCTGCCGCAGGCAGGCCCGCGTGCCGTAAGGCATCGCGCCAGTGGCTAGGGGGTTGGGCATGCCCCCCCCCCCACGCAACATTTTGACAATATTTAAGGCCATTTTCTTGCAATCATGAGGCATACGGAGTGGGCTATTCTCATGTCTGTGACACCACACCCACATTACACCATAAAGACATCACACAACACATCCAAAGATCATAACAATAACAGGATTCAACAACACTTTTTCATGACTTTTCAGAGAGCGTAAACAGTTAGGTTACTATAGTAATAATACCTGTTATTAAAAACACAGGTAAGGTAATTGGCAATTTCTCACCATTTTCACGGTGGTTTTTGTATGTTTGGCAACATACTTTTGGGGTATTTGTAGAGTCGTGGGAACATTTTTTGGAAGAGTTCATTTCGCATGGGTCTGCCACCGGAACCCGCTCAATAGCACATTGTGTTCCAGTTAATAATCCGTAAATCTCACTTCTTGCGTCAAGACAGACAATTCTCTTATCTGTATTGGCAAATGAAAGGCTTGGAGATATTGAGTGTAGATGTCCACTGGCACCCGCATAGGCACTTATGCTTTTGAGAGTCAATGATGGCTCTGGGCAGTCAGCTCTTTCCTCCGTGCAGCACCTAGAAGTCTATCTTAGCACTAACATGCAATAGCCATGATTAACACTGAGTTTCGATCCTTCAACAAGTACAGGCCACATCTGTGGGTGATGATTCGTTCCTGAATTTCTGTGAAAGTCGGGGTTTTTTGTGGCATGTGGGACGGGCATGTCTCCCGCCACGTGTTAAACCTGATTGAGCGAGGACAAACTACGGCGCCACCTTGTAGGACACGCCTGTCTAACTAGGCGTTCCATTTACCGTAGACATGCCCAAGATACAAACGCATATAGCAAACACATTATAACACGTGGAGCGGCGATGGTAGGCGGGGGGGGCTGCAAACTGAATTAAGCCCTGTCTACACTAAGAGCCAACTTTATTTGCAAACTCGAGCAACTCGAGTTTGGCGGCAAGCAAGTTTTCCGAAAGTTTGCCAGTGTGCTCAGACAGTTGACAAACTTCGGGCAAACTATTTGGCAGAAGTTTGCAGAAGTTACGTGCAGCCTTCTTGACAAGAACTAGTTTGCTCCGAGTTTGCTGAGGTTTCGGTAATACCTCGAATGCAAATGACAGTTTGTAGTCATGTGATCGCTGCAGATAGACAAACATGTGGAGCATTGAACATTGGATTCACAGTCGTACCGAGTAGTGTAGTGTCAAGTCAGTAGCGATAGTGTAAGACAGGCTCCACGAAGGACTTCTGCCAAACTTGTAACAAACCTCAGAAAAGTTTTTGGCTCCCCCCAGAGTTTGCACTAAAGTTTGCTAGTGTAGACAGGGCTATAAGCCCTGTCACAGCTAGGCAAAGTTTAGCAAACTTAGTTTGAAACTCGAGCAACTCCGAGTTCGAGGGCAAACTCGAGCAAACTCCGACAAATCCGAGTTCACTGTACTGGACTGGTGAAGTTCCGAATGTTTCAATGTCCAATGGTCTTGTCTATCTGGAGGAGTCACGATGACTACAAACTGTCATTAGTGATGTGGCCTGAGTATTTCGCAAACTCAGGCAAACTCGAGCAAACTAGTTTAGTCAAGAAGGTGCAACGGCCCTAACTTCTGCAATACTTCTGCAACTAGTTTGGCCGAAGTGTTATCACTGGTCTAACGACTGGCAAAGCTTTGGACAACTTTTCTGGGCCAACTAGGGTTTGCTCCGAGTTGCAAACTAAAGCCCTGTCTACACGTAGCAAACTTTAGGTTCAAACTCGGGAGCAAAATTCGAGCAAGACTCGCGAGTTTGCAAGAAAAGTTTTCCAAGTTTGCCAGTGTAGACAGTTGCAAAAACTTCGGCAACTAAGTTTGGCAGAGATTTGGCGAGGAAGTTAGGCCGTGCACCTTCTATGGCAAAACTAAGTTTGCTCGAGTTTTTGCTGAGGTTTGAAGGTAACTTAACCTCAGGGCCAATCAAATGACAGTTGGTAGTCATGTGATCCTGCAGATAGCCCAACATTGGATCATTGAACATTGGAAATTTCACTAGTCAGTTATCATGCCAGTGAACTCGGAGTTTGCCTGGAGTTTGCTGGAGTTTGCTACGAGTTTGCATCGAGTTTGCTGCGAACTCGGAAGTTGCTCGAGTTTCGCAAACTAAAGTGTTTGCTAGTGTAACAGGCGCTTAAGAGTTTTGCTAGTGTAGAAGGCTTCTAAAGCCGCTGTCTACACTAGGCAAACTTTAGTTTAGGTAATGCAGACGTGTTCATTCGCAAGAAACAGACTCGCGCGGGTGACGGCTATTAATAACTTGCTGGCATCTCTGATCTATACCTGAGCACGCCGGATGCAGCGCGTGGGCCGTGCCAGGCAGACGGCTGAACACAATACAGATGTGTCCAAGCGAACAATGCGAAATCGTGCAAAATTTTATACAGTGCAGACTGAAATGGCGGAATACATGAACTTGCCGCTGCGGAATGCGGAGGTTAACCTAGAATCGTAATGATTCCGCAGGAATGCGGAATGGTTGGAGACCCTACCCTGCAAACACATCGATGTTTAGTATTCTCTCATATTTCGCCAGTCGCCCAAATATTTTTCTTTGGGCCAGTGACTGCCTGGTTCTGTGCCAATTTCGGTCGCCCAAGCAAGACATTGGTCGCCATTGGCGACCTGGCGACCGTCTATTTCAGGCACTGCTCAGACACTCATTCACTCACCCACAGAAAAACAAGGTAACTTGTCTCGGGATGAAGAGAGGCTTACCAGTAAACCGTGTATGCTTCTGCCTGCGCTGGATCTTTCAGGTTGGGATCGTTCAACAGATCCTGAACTCCGAGCAGAATCTGCAATACATGAATGAGTGAATGAGTGTCTGAGTGAACGTGGGTGAGTGAATGAGTGTCTGAGTGAATGTGGGTGAGTGAACATGGGTGACTGAATGAGTGTATGAGTGAGCGTGGGTGATTGAATGAGTGATAGTCTGATTAAGCGTGAAATGACACAAAAATCCACTTAGCCATGGAATCTCGCTCACCTCACATTTCTTTGTACATCAATTTGCTTAATGAGCTCGATATGAAATTTTACTGGTACTTTTGCTACGGTATTATAGCAATTCATTCGCATTAGGCTAACAGCTATTCTACCGTCTCTCAAGGTTCAGACCTGCTTGATAGTGATGGCCGGTCTCCAGTCTTTACCCTCCTCAAGGATCGAAAGACACACTGTTCCCGACGGATACACGTTTGGGTGGAAGAGTGGCGGTTCAAATTTGCCTGGAATTGATCATGAAGTACAAGGAGTTGCTACTTCTACTGCCACCTGACACATTAACCAATGCAGGAAGAAAATGAGCATTAACAGTATATCTGAGATCAGCATTTAGTGCAGTTATCATCTTTAAATTTGAATTTATTCTCGTTTTTTTTAGTTAGTCAATCCTAGAGTACAACCTTACTTACTGCTAGGTCTCATACAATGACTCGCATTTTTGGTTCTTTGCTTAATACTTTACAATTTCCCTGATTTTATATACATAACATTAATAGGTCTGCTTATAGAACTATTATAGAACTACACATTTCAAAAACAGAGAGAAATGATAGCTGGTGAATCTAATTCATAATAAAACCAATGCAGATCACATGATTCATAGCAGTTACACCTAAAACTGCTACTTACATTTTGGAGGCGTTGAAGGATAATCATCTTTAAAGAGCATTCGGATTTTATACAATCCTCCTTCCCATGGTGTCTAGAATCAAAGTGTAATATGCTTATTGTGTGAAAAAGCTTGGCTGTGAAAATATTTCAAAGTTTATCACCACATGTCTGATAGCAATGGCTTTGAACTCATAGTAGCAGACGCATCGGGCACGACACAGCTTCAATAACCACTATTATACTTTCCATCAGGCACTATTCTACAATTTTACAATCTACCCAATGCTTCAATTAATGAAAAATACTAATGGTACTGATTTAGTGACATTTATGCAGGCATACGCTGCCTAAAAAATCTGCAGTGCTAATCTATAGAGGATCTGCAGTGCCATCTTCAGGAGCAAATGTTATTAACATGATACATGAAATTGATTTATTGTAAAACTGTAGAAACACACAGAAACCAACTCACAGAAGAGGTCAAGTGACAGGTATAATACAAACAGATAATAAAGTATAGTACACAATCCCTACCCGCCAAAACACACTTTATTTGTGTCTTGATAATTGCATACCTATATAACCTTAAAGAACTGATAATTTTAAGTCCAAATTATCTCGTCACCCGTACTAGCCATGCCGAGTTATTAGCTTAGTAACCAGCACTCAATGTTGATTTTGGCATAGTCCCAACAATAATACCTAGGACAAAACAAAATATAGGTGTGGTTACCGTTTCATGCCAAAAAAATAGGGTAGGTAGGTAGGGAAAACATTTTATTTTATTGAAACATTTTATTTACGAACCCTGTCCGAAGGATGTGCGTTGTGCCTTTTGAAGCAGGAACTGTCCAATTCATATTTTTAAATTTTTTTTAATTTTATTTTTTTACTTTAAAGTGATTACGTCACGAATTTCTAGCACCATCAAGTAGTATATTTGTGTGTTATTTGTACAAAATAAAATGTATGAAAATACAATTAGTGTTTCTGTTTACTTTTCATGCTTATATACCTTCTTTATATGCCCTAATTTGCCGGTGAAAACCGAGAGACGCCAGTATCTGAACAGTACTGGGGGAATAGTGTTAGACAACAGAAATTACCAAATCGTCTAGATTTTTTAAAATTTAACCAACGTAAAACCAATTTTATCAGGTGAGAGTTTGAGGATATATTTAGTAATGTTAGTTCGTACTTTTAATGTAAAAAATGGCAATTTTTTTTTATACAAATTTTACCATGGAAAATTCGTGACGTAGTCATTTTAAAGAAAATTGACAATAACATGTTTAGGGTCGCTGGGAATAAATAGGGTCGGTCGGGAAACGGTAACCACACCTATATTTTGTTTTGGCCCTATTAGGGAAAATTTCCAAGTGCAGCAAAGTGACAATTGCTGTCTTTACTATAACTTGGAGAGGGTCAAATACACTATATGTACTATACCAGGGTGCGAAATTAACGGGAGTCCAGAGTCAAATACTCCCTGATTTACTGTCAGACTCCCTGATTTGACATATGCAGGAGTCCGTGTGACTCCCTGAAAATTCTGCCATATTAACTAGTTCGTTCCGGAGCACGGCCTCGCGGAATTACTGTATTTGTTCTGCTAATGTCCAAAGAAAATTTGGCAGACGTACAACTGCACGAATCTTAAAAATAAGCACATGCGTTATTGTTAATATCTTAAATTTTGAACCTCAGACTGCAGACTCCCTCATTTTGCTGCGGACTCCCTCCAGGGAATAATTTTCCCGGTATCGCATCGCA